CGCCGGGGAGGAAGGCCGACCGTGCGCCTGCCGCCGGTGCTGCGGTAGAGGTGTCGTTCGGCAGCTACAGCGACCCCGCTGCCGCGGCTGCCAAGACGGACGCCGACGCTAACGCGGCGGCGGCGAAGGAGGCTGCCGCTAAGAAGGAAGCAGAAGCAGCAGCGGCGGCGACAGCGGCAGCGGCAGCCGCGAAGACGAAGGCCGCTGAAGAGGTGTGTTGTGAGCGTGTGGGTTGAGTGCGGCCCCGGCACAGAGGGTGCCTCGGTGCGCAGGAGCGCTCGGCTGTGTGTGTGTGTGTGTTCGTGTGCCGGGTCGAGTGATTCTATTCGTGCCTTGCTTCCAGCGTTGTTTCGGTCGAGATCAACTCCGTGTTTGGTGGGTGGGGCGCGACCATGCTAGGTTTTTTCCATTCAACCGTCGCGTCCCATGTTTTCACGCATACGCACACGTTTTTTACCGCACTGATTACATCCCGTGACTTAATTTCATCCAGCTGAGACTGGCCTTTCGTCATCGCCCCACCGGCAATCGCGGTGCAGTCTTGACGGAATCGGCCCCGTTCGTGCCTCCGTGCTTTTTGAGCTGCCGGCAGCACGCGCGGACGTCTCTCGTCACTAGCTTAGCAGGCTCGCATTGTTTAATCAGTCTGTTGCAAGCCCACACACGTGCGATGTTCGCGGCCGACGTTGTCTGCTTGCTTGCTTGTTTCCATTGCTTTGTTGGCGACAGGCTAAGAAGAAGAAGGAGGCCGAGGAGGCCGCCGCCGCCGCCGCGAAAGCCAAGGCCAAGGCCGCCGCAGAGGAGGTACCGTCCCACTTATATACCTTGTGCGACCCCCCCCCCCCCTTCCCCCCCAAGGACCGCCTTCGCGAGGATGCTAAGCGTTAGATATATGACGTAGAGAGGGTGGTTTTGTAACAGTAACCCGCAACTCCTATTTACTCAAACCTCGCTAAGGCTACTGCCCCCCGAACACGTGTCAACCAAATATTGGGACCTTATCCGCAGTTGGTCTTTGTTCGGACGTGTTATCCTACGTGTGGCTGGCCTTGGGTGTTGGTTGTCGGGATTACAATTGGCGGTGCCCACGGGTCTCCGCTGCAGAGAGAGACGTGTCTCACCCATCTTTCTTCTTTCAATACGATTCTGCGTGACCCCCCCCCCCGCCCCTCGCGCGCGCTGAATATCGTCATACGCAGGCACAGAAGCAAGCCGACTTGAAAAAGAAGGCGGCGGAGGAGGAGGCCCGCGCGAAGGAGGCAGAGGCCAAGAAGGTGAGCTGCTGCTGTTGCTGCTGCTGCTGCTGCTGTCGCTGTTCGGGACTAGGGTGGTGTCTCTTGGCGGTACTGCTGGAGGTATCAACGCAGCCGTTTGTTGAGAACAGACTCGGCTCTTCCCTTCCCACAAGAAGAGTTCCTCGCAAGTGTACGTATGCAGGGCACGATTTCGAGGATATAGTTGCGAGCGAAACCCGAAGATGTCCGTTCGCCTCTGGGTGGTATCTACAAGGGCCACGTCCCCCCCACCAGCAGGAATTCCTCCGCTTGTTCCTAACACGGGCGAGACTTGGCGGCCATTTCGCCCGCCGTACGGCAACGACAGCGTTTATCTTGGTTTTTGTGTTGATGTTGGCGGCGTTTTTCTTATGTGGAAATCCCGTTTTTTATTGTTGGTGTCCCACCAGGCGGCGGCGGCGGCGGCGGCCGCTGACGCCAAGGCGGCCGCAGCGAAGAAGGCTAGCGAAGATGCAAAGGCAGCCAAGGCTAAGGTGAACGAACATGGACCCCGCCTACTTGTTATTATTGCATGCCCTTTGCGTCTTGTGCTGTGACGGGGGCAGTTTGCTTTCCATTGGGAAGGCCAAGAAAAACGAGGATTGGATTATGAGGATACGAGGTCCTTGTTCTAGGCTATGCCTTGTGCGTGTTGTGCTGATGGAGGTTGTATGCTTCCATGAAGGAAGGCCAAGCAAAGTGAGAGGCTTGGATGGTTGGAGTAAAAGGGTCCCTGTTCTCTAAGTCATGCCTTGTGCGTGTTGTGCTGATGGCGGTCGTGTGCTTCCATTCAGGAAGATAAGCTACACAGGGCTTGGGTGGGAACTCTAGTCCGGGTGTCAGTTAGCTTGGGTGGGAACTCTAGTCCGGGTGTCAGTTATTCGAAGCTCCCTTCGTTTGGTTGATACCGAACCAACCCCCAAACGGGTTGGTAATGCCGCTTCGGCCCTCAAAGAGCAAAGCGGCAGTATCAAACAAAAGTGGGGCACTATTCTGGCGCCCCCCCGTCTCCCCCCCCCCCCGCGCGCCCGAAGTCTTTTCGGGTTCCCCCCTTTGTTGTGGCATTGCCGCCAGGCAGTAAGGAGGTGTTGTGAGCTCCTTTTGTCTGTTGCGGGAATGAGGGGCATCGGTGCAGAGCGCGTCTCCTACAATCACACAAGTTTTCTCGGTCAAGCGACCTGTGTGTCTTTTGCTGATATCCCGCCCATGTCCATCGCCGAGCGCAAGTGTTAAAAAAGTCCTTGTTGTGCACACGTGCTCTCTGATGGACAGGTCGAAAGCTGCCGGGAGACAGAAGAACGGCGCCCCGAACAGTCTCCACTGATAACAACACAAACGTGTAACTGTAGTTTGTTTGTTTTCTTCTCCTGTGATTGCAGGCCGACGCGGAGGAAAAGGCGGCCTCTGCCGCAAAAGAGGCAGACAAGAGGAAGGCAGCTCTTAATACCACCACAAAGGTGTGTGTTGGTCTGGTGCTGACCTACAGCAGTACAGCAGTTCTAGCCTCTTTATGGCAATTTTTTACATGTGTCGGTCCCCTGAGTCTTAACTTTCCCTTTCAGGGTTTTTGAAGCACTGTCTACCAAGATTTGTGTGGTACACATGCCGTGCTTGTTGGAAAAGAATCGGGCCAAGCAGGTGCTGGCGTGGCACGCCCGCAGACACTCATGTCTTCGCGCGAGCACTGGGGTCCTTGCTGACTTAAAATGCAACACAACCCAAACACACACAACCTGACGAACGATTACCGCCTGCCCCCCACCCCCCCCTACTCCCCCCTACTCAGGCGGCTACAAACGGAGGTCTTGCGAAGGGTGGCAGCACCTCTCGCGCCGCTCCCGTTTCCCCGAAGCGGTCGCCCGCAACGGCCCCGGCGGCAACGGCCGCCGATGCAGGCAGCAGCAGCAGGGCCAAGTCTCCGGAGGCGAGCCCCCCCGCCGCCGCCCCAGCGCCGGCGAAGAAGATGATGTTTCCGGCTCAGGCCGCGGCGCAGGCGGCTAGAAATGCGGCCGTGGCCAGCGGCGACCGGCCGCCCCCGACGACGGACAGCTGGCACGATGAGCCTGTGGCGGTGAGAGCGGATAGCAAGGGAGGAAGGAGTGAAGACAGGGGGGTCGATAGATGATTAGCCCAAGTGTGTGTGGGGGGGTAGTAGTAGGCCGTGCTGTAGGGGAGGACTCACAGATAGAGAGAGAAAGAGAGAAAGCAGAATCGGAACCAGACGGCAGGTAGCCCTGAAGTACAGTACAAGTATAGCCCCCAAGGCCTCACAAGTTTTTTCCGGTTTTTTGTGTCTCACGCACCCCCACCTTTTCTCACGTATTTTCCTCGCCCCCCCCCCTCTCTCGCTCGGCACACGTGTTGTACCCCCCCTTACCGGTAAAACGCCATAACGAAAAAAGCAGCCCAAGCCGACCTCTTCCCTGCGCCCGGGGGGCGCGATGGGGCTCCGTCCCGGCGGCGCGGGCGCAAGCCTCCGCCCCGGCGGCGGATTGGGCCTCCGCCCCGGGGGTGATTCGCTCGGCGGCGGCGCGGGAGCCGGCGGGGGCGGGGGCGGGGCCGGCGCGGCCGGCGGCGGCGATGGCGTCGGCGGTGGCTCCGCGGGCGGGGCGGCCCCGAGCCTCCCGCAG